AGGTGCTCTGGAAAACTCCATTGATCAGAAATCTATCGAAGACTAATCTAGCAAAGACGTGTGGAGAAATGTCTGATGGTCAGTTACCCACAACCTGGTCAAGTTACACAGACTAGTGTGTAATGGGAGGAAAACGGAAATTAATCCTCTCTGCATGAATGGCAGCCGTTATCAGAGAGTGTGGATTCCTTAACCCTTTCAGGCTTGTCACTTGAAACTGAAACTTGGTATAGATTATAAACCTTCAGAAATAGGGTCAGAATTTGTAACTTTAATTCATATTTTCATAAATGGTGGTACAGAATTTAATTGAATGAGTAAGTTCGAATACATATGCTGCTAGCAAGGGGAACAATGATATATTGACACACCAGTGATATATTTTGTTATGAATTACCATATCCATAAGACCTTACTGAACCTGTTTCGCAATATAGACAAAGGGTATTGCAATGTATATTGTAAGACAATATTAACTGCCACTGCACTGATCCGTACAAGGAACACCACATCATTATTCAAATTGATTCTATTAAACAATATCAACAAATCTGTAAGCATTTGACAGACATTCATTTCTACATAAAATGGTTCCTACATTTCCCAAGCCAACCATTATCTTCAGAATTAAGCAATTCTTTTGGTATTGGAATAAGAAATGGGAGTTCTACATTATAACTACCTAGAAAATGTTCAAGAATATTCCTTGGACAAAACAAGCATTACACAGATCCTCCTTACAATATACAGAACTTTCATAACATAAGCTGAACTTCCGCAAAATGTAAAGTCCAAAACAAACTCTTGTACGTGTCACTCAAATCTTTTTGGCATAAGTTCCATATTTCTTTGACAGAAAAAAAAGAAGATAATTTGCAGACTGCGACATGACATAAGTCCCTAATCACTTTGTCAATAACATGTTATACACAATAATTCCTTGAAGTCTTGGACGGGTATTTAGAAGTTAGAAGAACATGAATGCATGACACATTTTTTTATGGATAACAACTTTATACTTGCAATGACGTTTCAGGGCTACTTCTTGCCCCTTTATTGAGGTTGAAACGTCATTGCAAAGAATAAAGTTATTATCCTAAAAAAGCGTCACATATTCACACTAATTCTTTGTTTACAAACATCCTTAACAGGAAAACAGAACCAAATGACCAATAAGATGCTGGAAGCTTTAGCCAAGCCAGCTGAGGGCAAGAACAGAGCCAAGATGTTGATGTGAGAATTCCTCTGAGACACAAGTTGGCTGATTATCAAAGTCATTAAAGGGACAGTTTGGGGATAAGTCCCTTGATAGATCCCTGCAGGGCACCCTCTGGTGGACCGCTATATTCTCAGGACCAGACCCACAGGGTGTCTCGCCTGTCAATCAAAGGGATGTCGATTCCATCTGGATTTTATTACCTGGGGTTATTGTGATGTGAGGGTTGTTAAAGGTCATATAGTGACCATAGAGGTGGCTAATTGCTGTTTTATTGGGCTATATGCTATTATGTGGACCAGTGCTGTGATATAACTGCTGTTTATTGCCCTGTAATGAAAGGTAAACGGGTTGCACAATCAGAACTTGAATATTCATTTTATTGCATACAAATTTGCATTAAAATTAACATTACTATAGAAGGCTGTTAGTGTCGAACATTCTAAAACTTCAAACTTCAATAATATCATTCTGGAAAGAATACTGATGTAGCCAAAATTCCCTCAATGTTATCTAATACCATCCAGAGGTTACTGTTATTTTGGTTGTTGTAAAAAGTTGATAAATGAAACAAAACAATAAAGAGAAAGAAATAAACACACAGAGAAAGACCACACACACTAGGATTCTGGACTTAGTGCTGTTTGAAGGCAACCTGGGAAAATTTTATTTTGTCCAAAATTTGATGTTTTTAAGTTCTTATTTCAAAAGTATTTTAAGATTTTATTGTAATATTGCATTTGATGCAAAAAGGCAAGCAAAAATTAAGCATTCACTGCTTTTCCCCCTCCTAGGACCTTGCCCAAGTCATCACATTCGTTATAACTATACTACTCAAAAATTGTTAAGGACCACCCCATTCTTTCATATAACAAATGTTATATTTGGGCTAACACTTTCTTAGTAAAGAACCAATTCTAGTACTTTTTTGAGTGAGTGAGTGAGTGAGTGAGTGAGTGAGTGAGTGAGTGAGTGAGTGAGTGAGTGAGTGAGTGAGTGAGTGAGTGAGTGAGTGAGTGAGTGAGAGAGAGAGATTTTACACCACTTTTAGCAATATTCCAGCAATATCATAGCGCGGGACACCAGAAATGGGCTTTACACATGGTACCCATGTGGGGAATTGAACCTCGGTCTTCAGCGTGACGAGCGAGCACTTTAACCACTAGGCTACCCCACCACCCCCTCAAAACTGTGAACAAAATTACATTTTAACAAATCCTAATGATGAAGAAATGGGGGGGGGGGGGGGGGGGGGGGGGAGAGAAGAGAGAGAGAGAGAGAGAGAGAAAGATGCTATATAACATATATGGCAATGTAATCCTAATGTTCATGATAATTTCTGGAATCTGAGGAAGACCATTTTTTCGGCCCAGAACAGTCCGAGATATCTCTAGTACACAAAGTATTGATATAAGATTATTCTGGTTTTACACCTTGTAAACAAAAAACGTCAGAACTTTTGGCGTCAATACAAAATCATAACACTAGGGATCTTTGCCTTCAGATGCCATGTTTACAATGTCCACTGAACATGGTGTGGCCAAAGTTTTATTTACAATAAATGGTAAATTGTGGAAACTAGTATCAACACGACATGTTGACCATGTCTACTACTGAGTCAAACCTAACTAAATAAAAAAATATGCCCCAGAAGAATCATGTGTTTTGATCTAGAGCCCCAAACATGAATTCATATTTTCCATATTTTCTTATCAGCATTTGTTGAATGATTTTCACTCATGTCCAATGTTGAAATATGACTGTCACTTCCCATGAATACCAATTTCATCTTTCCCCTAGTTCCAGAAATACCTACGTTGATCATATATATTGAGTTGGGGCTTTCATATACATGTTATCAGCCCTGAATGTGGACAGAAAACAAACAGGTGACAGTATGTAGTATTGACACTGTCCACCCAGATGTCAACTGGAAGTGGAGGAAACAGTCCAATGTTGAATCTTTTGGGTCCCATGTATCTTGACCACAGGTCAGGGCTACAGTGACCATTACTGTTGACAAGACATCGGAAAACCAGGAACACCTCACCATAAACATTGGTCTTCATGACTGGCCAGTTTGTTTAACATCTGACAGCTACTTGTTGTATAGCCCATTTAACTATTCTGGTTCCGGGTTGGGCAAATTGTGACTGTTTGCTGTGAAACTGGACTGTTGAAACCTTTGAGATGTTGGAGAGATAGACTGAGAGGGTTAAAGAGAGAATGGGGAGAGAGAGAAATAGAGTGGGGATAGACAGAGTGTGGGATATAGATATAGAAATATAGAGATGGAGAAAGAGAGAGAGAAAGAAATAGAAAGGGCCAAATATATAGACCGAGAGAGAGAAAAGAGAGTGTGGAGAGAGAGTGTGGATAGAGAGAGTGGAGTGAGAGTGGAGAGAGAGAAAGTGGAGAAAGAGAGAGTGGAGAGAGAGTTGAGATGGAGAGGGGTGGAGAGAGTGGAGATGGAGAGAGAGAGTGGAGATGGAGAGAGAGTGGAAAGAAAGAGTGGAGAGTGGAGATGGAGAGAGGGAGATGGAGAGAGGGAGAGTGGAGAGAGAGTGGAGAGAGAATGTGGAAAGAGAATGTGGAAAGAGAGAGTGGAAAGAGAGAGTGGAAAGAGAAAGTGGAGAGAGAGAATGGAGAGAGAGAGAAAGAGAGAAAGAAAGAGCGTGGAGAGTGGAGAGAGAGAGAATGGGGAGAGAGAGAGAGAGAGATTTTTCATCACTTCACTAGATGTTTCACAGGCCACATCAGACTTGCAGCACCTGTAGTCTATGTGATAACCACATATATCACATCTAAACTCACAGAAACCAATCTATTGCTAGCATACACGATTATGTTGATATGAACCTATCTATTTGCAGGGGTTAGAAAAAGAAATTGTTGCTATCACTTTCTAAGAACTTTTTACCACTAACGTCAAACATCTTCATTCATATTGAAAAACAAAGAAAGCTCAGTTCATAGGCTGACAACAAAATCCTGCCCATATCCGTAAAGAATATCTGTCACTGAAAAAAACATTCTACAGATCACCCTTTTGATACAGAACATTTCAATTCAATAGTTGTCGTTTCTGCAATTCCTTCCGTGCAAAGAGTCAGAAATCAACATGCACACTTCTCAAATAAAGAAACAGGATTTTGTGCTGGATTTTGTGATACTCTTCAGATCAAATATTTGTGATCTGTATTTTAAATCTCAAGTTCTCGCCACACCCCACAGAGATGAAATGAATAGGGGGGATGGCATGCGGCTGCATGTTGAAAGTTGACTCACAGATCTCAGGTTTATGCTTGAATGTTGACAATGGTGTTTGTCTCGTATTGCTGTGTTTTCCGGTTAATACACCTTGAGCTGGTACACAGGTGGCACAGCACATATATTAAACATGTTTCGTGAAAGTCCTTCAGATTTGCGGAAGTCACCATTCGTCAGAAGTTTACAAATTTTCATAAAGAATCATAAAATATGTTTTGAAGCTAGCGCATTCATACAAGTCTCCACTGTCTACAATTTGAGAGTAACAGAAATTGTTTTAGTGCAAAGTTTGTTGTTTAACACCACATTCGGCAATGTTCCAGCTGTAGGATGGTGGGCTGGAAATTATCAAGACCTGAGAGACATTCCAATAATTAATATCATAAGCATGATGCATTAAGTGCCTCTTACAACAAGCAAAGGTTGCTGTGATCAATTCTAACCCAGAATCCCAACAGAGTTTCAGTGGAAAGTAATTACATCATGCATCGGACAAAGAGATTCATCTACTTACATCTTTTTCTTTTGCGATTCGACTGCCCTTATTGAATAATGAATTCCGATCTGAAAGAAAACAGAAGATTCAAATTAAATCATGCTGAACAACAATAAGATCAAACAGAAGATATTGTTAGAATTTTGTCCTGTACCTTCAGAAATCAATTATTTTTTGTTGTTTCAAACATATATATCCATCTTATAAAAGAACATGTTATCACAAATGAGGTGGTCACAAGACATTAAAAGAAATGTGAGTTCTAAACCTACTTACTACTCATGTTAAAAAAAGTTGAAATAGTGTTCACAGATTCCTAACTGCACTAGCAGGTTAAAAGCTTGAGTAGATAGTGAATTCAGTTTAACGCCACATTTTTCGCAATATTCAGCAATATCACGATGGGGGACGTCAGACATTAGCTTCAGATATAAAAGTGTACCAATGTGGGACCTGGGAATTCAGCATGATCAGGAAAACTGTGAGATCAGGATGCATTTTTTTGGCCATACTAAAGAAGTAAAGCTACTGAGTTGAAAGGATGGCAGAATACAGAAACACATTCATACATTGCAATGGCATGCCATGCTTCGAAGCCATCAACTAGAGGGGTCAGTAATGAAATATCGGCCATTAGCCTTGAAGCTTACACTGTCTGAAGACAGGCAGGTAGATGTCTTCACAAAGGCAAGCCATGGTGACTACATTCATCAAGCAATCAGGAGGGCTTTAGTTGGGTCACTCAATTCAATTACGAGAGAGCTACAATAGGTCAGGCTCCCTTGAAAATCTAATTTGATTGACACAAGCTTGTTACTTTATAAATTAGTTGGAGCTCCTATTCTGATGGGGATATATCCTGGAACAATTGTCTCAAGAGTTTGCCCTGTGATGCAAGGGTACTAGTTTTGTTTCAAATAAACCAGAAGCTCAGATGGGTGACACCAGCGTAGCCAGCCCAGATGGGTGACACCAGCGCAGCCAGCCCAGATGGGTGACACCAGTGCAGCCAGCCCAGATGGGTGACACCCGTGCAGCCAGCCCAGATGGGTGACACCCGTGCAGCCAGCCCAGATGGGTGACACCAGTGCAGCCAGCCCAGATGGATGACACCAGTGCAGCCTGCCCAGATGGGTGACACCAGTGCAGCCAGCCCAGATGGGTGACACCCGTGCAGCCAGCCCAGATGGGTGACACCAGTGCAGCCAGCCCAGATGGGTGACACCAGTGCAGCCAGCCCAGATGGGTGACACCAGTGCAGCCAGCCCAGATGGGTGACACCAGTGCAGCCAGCCCAGATGGGTGACACCCGTGCAGCCAGCCCAGATGGGTGACACCAGTGCAGCCAGTCCAGATGGGTGACACCCGTGCAGCCAGCCCAGATGGGTGACACCAGTGCAGCCAGCCCAGATGGGTGACACCCGTGCAGCCAGCCCAGATGGATGACACCAGTGCAGCCTGCCCAGATGGGTGACACCCGTGCAGCCAGCCCAGATGGATGACACCAGTGCAGCCTGCCCAGATGGGTGACACCCGTGCAGCCAGCCCAGATGGGTGACACCAGTGCAGCCAGCCCAGATGGATGACACCAGTGCAGCCTGCCCAGATGGGTGACACCCGTGCAGCCAGCCCAGATGGGTGACACCAGTGCAGCCAGCCCAGATGGATGACACCAGTGCAGCCAGCCCAGATGGATGACACCAGTGCAGCCAGCCCAGATGGATGACACTAGCGCAGCCTGGCAATATTATTCTCACCTTCATAAATCACATTTTTTAATGTATAATATTTACATACAAAGTTACAATATTTCCGTCTAGTCTGTCACATTACAGTATGAAAAAAACAATGAAATATGTCACGGACACTGAAGAATGACAATGTCAGCCATTAAGAACAAGGACCATCACGACACAATTATGACCTCACAGCATGTCATCATGAAGCAAAAACAGAAATATTACTATGCAGGTGTACCGTGGGAACCTACTAGTGTACTTCATGATATGATCAAGAGTAAGTTGAGGTTAACCCTACTTTTTACAGTATTTCACTTCCTGTTTGCATAATGTGGGAAGGCAAGCCCAAAGTGACACATGTCATTGATGTATAGGGCTTTAGTAAAATGCATAAGCACAAGTATGGTATTGACAAACCTTACAACATTATCAGATTGAATCTGGGATTCGAATCCAAGATGAGTGGATCACAGCATGGAAAAGGGAGATAACTCTGTACAGCAAATTATAGTGACTTAGACTGCTGCACTACTGAAGGAGTTTTAAGACCATGTGAGATACAAGCCTACTTGGAGGCTACAGAAAAAGGCTAGCAGTAAATGAAATGGTTGAAGCGTTTTATTTGTTTGTTTGTTCATTGTTTGACACCACACTCAGCAATATTCCAGGTATAAGACAGAGGTCTGTAAATTATCTAGTCTTGTCCAGACAATCCAGTGATTGACATCATGAGCATCAATCTTCGCAATTGGGATACAATGACATGCATCAACCAAGTCAGCGAGCCTGACCACCTGATCCCGTTTACAAGAAGCATGGGTTGCTAAAGTTGCCGAAGACCAATTCTAACCTGGGTCCCGTTCCACAAAGCGATCGTAACTACAATCAATCTTAGAGACTTACGTCGATTATAAAATCGTCTTAGCTAAAGTTTACGCCCGTTCCACAAAGCTATCTTAGGGCGATTGTAACTTTACAAGTTCTTAAGTAGCCGATCTTAACAAAGATCGGAATCTTCAGCCATGAAGATACGAAAGTTTCCCTAAGAGTGGCCTCCCTTGGTCATGTTTAGCAGACGACGCATTGTCGAAATATGGCCGAATCGCAGACCTCTGTCGGCGTCAAACACGTTCGTCGCAGCAATTTTTCAGCAAGCGAGATCGCTGTCCTTGTTGATGAGGTGGCTGTTCACCACACGACACTGAATTCCTCATTCAGCTCTACCGTCACCAATAAGCTGAAAGGCAGCATATGGGAGGACATCGCTAACAAGTAAGTGAGCTGTGGACTGTCAGAATGTTATCTGATATAATAATAAGTCAACATACGCCATCTTTGTTGTTATGGTACAATATTTAAGATCGATTTTAGCGATCCTAAGTTGGTCCGGAGCAACTTAGCATTTTGATCTTAACTTACAACTCTCTTAGTTAAGATTGCTTTGTGGAACGGGCGGCCGATCGTAACCAAAATTTAAGATCGCGTACTTAGTGAGTTACAATCAACTTAGCCCTAAGATCGCTTTGTGGAACGGGGCCCTGGATCTTTACGGGTTGGTCGAAGGGGAAAGGATTGTGGTAAGAAGCATGGAGTGAGGCCAATGTGGATGAATAAGAAATTCTTAATTATTCCATTTTCATAAATACTTAATGAAATATAGATTCCTCTTTTATGTCAGGAACAAAAGTTATTGTCATTATTGTCGTTATTTCAACTTCCAAACATACACACATTTTACTTCCATATTTTCATACAGTGGATTATTTAGAACTTTGTCACTGTTATCTTAAGTTTGAATTGTTTGTTCAAGTTGTTTCAGCTTGACCTAGAGCCCTCTACACATGGCATAGTTACATCACTAGAACATGCAGGTAACACAGATGACAGATGCATGCTGGGTTAATCAGGCGAGGCTCCAGTATCAGAGGAATTGTGAAGCGGACTTCCTGTTTGAATATACATAGCGATAGTGATAGCGACAAGCAGCTGCACCACCTGTCCATTATTCCTACTCATTTCTACTGCCTCTCAATGTATGGACACAAATGTTTCATTTTATGTTGATAGACGTTTTCATATAAAAAAACTTCTCCTCAAATCGGATTGTTTTCATTGTTTCTAAATATACTGTATTTACAAAACAATATTTCTTACAGAGCTCCAGATAAGCTTTTGGTGTTGTGGGTATTTTACCCATGCATTTAAAAATCATTGGGTATCAGTAATTCTACCTGGGTATTCAAATTTCTGTTACCCACTAGTTTTTACACATGTGGGTATTTAAGTTAAATATTTCAAAACACTATTCATCTAGGCCCTGCAAACTGGTTTCGTGTGGGTTCGAGAGCTTTATAGGACTCAAAAATACCACCATACTTCCACGAGAAGGTGTGATGACAAATGATCATGATGTAACTGTCATCGTGGAGTCTGGCAGGGTTGATGGAATGCCCGTTTATAATTTCAAAATAAGTTGCTGATTTGCTAATCGAATACGCAGGATTACTTCACAATATTTTGATGATACGCACAAGTTTTATTTTTGTAGCGTATCTGTAATGTTCGTTGCGTATTTGATACGCTTGGATTTTATTTTACTGCGTATTTCTACATTTCTTATGCGTATTTTACGCATATACGCAGCTTATCTGGAGCTCTGTCTTAATAAAAAGATGATTCTGTTTTATTTTGTGACTGTAAATCATGAATTGTGTCTCCAATGTGTGTGTATGTGTGTTTTATTGCTTAACAAATCATTCAACAATATTCCAGCTAAATGACAGCAGCCCGTAAATAATCGAGTCTTGAACAGACAATCCAGTGATTGATAATGATAACCCATCATGGTACAATGACCTGCCATCACCCAAGTCACCGGGCCTTACCACATGATTCATTTAGTCGCCTTTTACGACCACCATAGTTGCTGGGGACCTATTCTGACCCAGAGTCACCACGGGGCTCCTACAGTGTGGAATAGTTGTCACCAAATAGTCTATCCACCACTGTTGCCACAAGTTCATTAACACGCACTATCCACCACTGTTGCCACAAGTTCATTAACACGCACTATGTCTACACAGTAATCACATGTGCTATACCAAGAGTACAATTAGACACATGAGCCTGACATGTCATGTGGCCATGTCACATCCAGGGAATATTTAGATTAGTCTCTATGTCTATGTCAGCCATTTTGCTTTATATCCGATATACAGGATCGTAAAGCTTTCACTATAATTAAAGTCCAATGAGTGAGTGAGTGATTTGGGCATTTAACAGTATTCCAGTTATATCATGGCGTGTCAGCTTAATGTGGGAGGAAAGCC